TTGAAAGAGTTATAGTTATTCCCCTTTATAACTTATAATCCCAGATAAATGTTTTTATAGCATTTTTATTGGTGCAAACTCTCTTATAAATCTTTTACGAAGCACTGCTTCAGTATTTCAGTGACTTAGTCGCTCGGACCTTTTAAATTCATAAGTCTGCTACACACGCAGGAATAATCACATAACATTAAATATTTTGAAAAATTACAAAATATTATGTTTAAAATATTAAAGTGATATTTATGTTTAAATTTCAACCAATAAATTGGCCGAAAGTAGATTATGAATTATTGTTTTAAATGAAATCCAAGACTAATATTAATTGCAAATATATTATGGTACATCTTCATGGGGATAACTGAATTTTTATAAAATACATTGAAGTGGTAAATTTTCAATGGATGAACAACTCTTGGTAAAATGTCTTATTAAAGGCTCAATACCACTCTTGTCGTAACTGAATAATGTGTCCCAATCTTTATTCTGGTCAACAAATTGTACTATTTTACAGTATTCCAGTTAATTGATGATACAAATTTCATCTTAACACACCTAATTTAAAAAATTGGAAAAATTCAACTAAATGATTTGAAAAGCCTAACGTAAACCTTTTCAAATGTGACTTGGATTTAAAAATATTTTCGAACCCTCTGGACAAGTAAAATAGGATGTAATGGATAATTTACACAACAGGTAGGACACTTAAACATCTAAAACTTAGAATAAGGCTAATAATATTTAATGGAGCTGTCAAGCCAGCAAGAGTGTTATTGTCCCTTTAACAAGCAATGGATGAATCAAGTATCCATTGCCTAGTGATTGGTGTGTTATTTTGTTTATTTGATTATGTTTCATATGCAGGGAATGACGTCTGCTACATGTATGTAAGAAAGAGGTTGTTAAAATAATCGAGCCTTCACCAAGTAGTCACTTGAGAGGATATTAGGTCTGTTATCCGATTCTGGATGAGAGAATGGAGAATATTTTGTCTGGAGATGCAAAACGTTCTGAATGGAGTTGAAAAAAATATTAATCAATGAGTAGACCAACCATTGTAGATTAGGCTGACCATTCAGGTATGATGAGATGTACTCAGTTTTATCCATGATGTCATGCACATCACAAGTTCCATCTACACCACAGCTTATCTTGGTAACTCTTGACACCCTTTCTTATCACAGCTTGTGATCAGAACCCTATGAGAAGAGCCGTTCAGAATCTATAGGCCAACATACTTGTCATTTAGAAATATGAATGCCACAGTCCTGGCAAATAGGCATGAACAATGAACATATTTTTTTTATATCTGCTACCATTATCTACTGATGGTATTAGAATACCAGATGGATAATTCTGACAAGTTGATGTGTGGGATGAAGAGTCAGTGAAAACAGGTCAAACTGTAATCCACTCTGGACCAAAAATGGACCACACTTGAAGTTAAAACTGTGCATGTCCCTGATTTTGTCAGTACCAGTACATGTAGTGACAGTAACCACATTTCCTACATGACTTTGACCATAGCAACTTTTCTGTTAAGAGTTCCGCCAACACATCAGGCACTGACAGTGTAAATTGATTTTACCACAGTGAGTTTATGACTGGGTAAGGAACGCTATATCAGAATAGCACGCTATATCGTTATGGTGGGCTTGAGGCCCATTGTGAATAATGCTTTATATACTGGGGTACATACATTTATTTGATAAATTCATAATATACCTATTCATTTCAATGTCAGCTTCTCTAGGAGAAATACATTTGAAAGTTGATAGTACCAGTAATATTTCACCATTGTTCACAATGAATTTAAATAATTTCCCCCTCATTACCAAGGAGAATGTAATGTACCAACAGGTTTATTTTCATATCAGAAAGAAAATGTCATTTATCAATATAATTGATGGCTATCATGAAAACTTTGACAGATCAAAGGATGGTTCCAATGAAATAAAAGTGCCTCAGATTACATTTAAAATCATTAAGAGTCAGAAAGAGCAATATGTTTATCCATAATTTCAGGGACTTGCTTGGTGGGTGGAGTAAAAAACACTCATACCCTATGATTTTAAAGGGGCAATGTAAAATTTATGAATGACAAATGCCACCATATTAGACAGCTGCTAGATTTTAATGCAAAACATTTTATGTAAATTCACAACCATGACATGATAAAAAGGTTAGAAAAAGCCAAACTTAAAATTCAAAAGTTTGAGTTTTCAAGCTAGGTCTATCATTCTAATATGAAAGCTGTAAAATGTTATACTGCCTGTACATGTATCTGTATATCAAAACTTTCCCTTGTTTGATCCTATCATAATGTTTCGAACGATTTCAGAATCTGTCCACCATTTTTTTCTAACAGCTGGACTAAACCTGATCACATAGTCATATCTATAAATGCACATACAATTATAATGGGAGTGCTATTTAGCCTCATCTATTCCAATATCCAGCATGCAATTAACATTTTACATCACTAAACAAAGACATATTTCATATCCCAGAAATATTCTCTTTTTTAACATTTTCAGTTTGGTTTTGTAGCATACTGTACACTCAGACAGAGATAGATCACAATCAAATTACAAATGTTTTTTAGTTCTTTTCTACTTGTCATTTGAAAACTTCCAAAAATCCTGTTAAAGCTTTTAAGCATTGGAGATTTTAGCAGATTCTTGATGGAGTCATTAGATAAATAAAAATAAATAATATATAGTCTACTAAACTGTCTACTTTAATCTAACTGCCATATGGCGATGTTCTGGCTAACCTCTTAAAACTATCTTTTTTAAAATAAGGTCCTTGAACTTTCAAAACAGACTTTTCTTATAAAAATATGAATATACATATATATCATAATAAAGTATGGCAAATCTTACAAGTTCAAGTGGAAAGAGCCCTGTCCTCCTTCACTACAATGTTCTGGTTTGGAATCTCTGCATGGACCAGGAGGAACCTTTCAAGCCTGATTGTCACTGATCAGGTGTAATGTCTACTGGGTTGTGCCTAGTCATCTGGAAGGAACAAAAAACCAAGGTCTACCTGTGTACCGGTGCTCATTTGTGTGCACATACAAGAACTCTTGGCAGTACGAATCCCACAAACGACCTTCACATGCATAACAACTAAAATGAAAATTACCATATGCAAGTCTCAAAATGACAAAAATATTGTGTTGATGAGACATTCATTCTATTCCATTGTTCTACACCAACCTCTCACTCAAACTTGTCAGACCAACTGTAGCTACTTGAAAAATGTTAAATTCTGTCTTTTAAAGACAAATTAATGGAAATGACAGTGACCCATTAAATTCTCTCCTTCAATGTATGATACATTCAGCAATAGCATACAATTGTAAAAGAAAAATTGCCAGTTTTTATACTTTTCACTTTTTAAAACATTCAGGCATTTAGAACATACAGGTTTTAACAGCATTTTAGAACATACAGACATAATCTGCATTTTATAATAGAACAAGCAGAATTAAACTCCATTTCAGAACAGACAGACATAAAATGGTTTATGTAAGTTCCTGGTAAATTCATTCAAATTATCTGTGTGTAAAAGTATTAATATAAAACTACAACAGAAATGGAAACAATGTAAACTTAAAAATAAATAAGATGTTCTTGAAAAGGTAAGCATATCCTTCTATAGAGACTGAATAATTCTACATTCTGTTAAGCATAGGTGTGCATCAATCATAATGACCAAAAAACAACTTTTCTTTGATACAATAGCACAAAGAAGATCAAAACATAAGAAATATTTGATATATGGTAGAAACCAAAATATTTTCTAACCTCTAATGACCTCTGACCTTAACCCTTTAAAGTATGGAATATCAAGAAAAGAGGGTAGAATCATTTATAAAAGAAATAACAGTTGTATTTTTTTTTATTCCATTCTACATCTTTGTCAGGAATCTAGCAAGACATCATTAACCTTTGAGGTCATATATAGGCAGACATCAGTCTGAATTTTTAACTAAGCTTGAACTTAAGTTTGCTTGTCTTATTAAACCTAAACTCTCATCATATTTAGCCCAAGCACTCCGATCACACACACCCCCACCCCACCCCCCACCCCCACTCCGCCAAAAAATATGTCCATTCATATTGGGATAGCATTGCAGACATTATCTAATGTGCTTTTATGAAAATTCCACTGTCTGAAAATTTGTTTAAAATATCCTGACTTATACAGACAGAAAGTATTTTTGAGGAACCATCTGAAGAAGTTGGAAGATTACTTACTCATCAGAACACCATAATATTTATTCTCGACAACCTCAAAGTTAAAATTTAAAAGCTGCAAAAACATTTCTGTTTTCAAAACCTTTAAGGTTATTGCACAAAACATCAATGCTATTTATTCCTAACAAACTGCTAGAAAAATATATTTCAAAAGCATAACATTGTAGATGTTTTGTTGAAGGAAAATAAAACTTAAATATGCCCCCAAAAATATGTAAGCACTTACATGTACTGGGGCAGAAAAATGTTATAGAAATTCAAACCAGACTAAGGAATTACCAGTAAAGCAAAAGTAAATACTATTTATCAAATTATCAAAATCATGGCATACAGCCAACATAAATAAGGTTAGGAATATATAACACATATTAAAATACCTACTATTTCATGTAAAAAGAGTTAAATGTGCCCTTACCGTTAAATATAAACGCCCCCTTGTGACGACTAACAATGGACAACTTTTAACTTTGTTGAAATTTAATATGGAGAGCCGTAACAATAGTAATAATCAAAAGTCGACAGAAATGTGTGCTGTGTTTATTTGTCTCCCAGCAGAACCGACAATGTCTTTTTTCTAGTTATTCATTGTTCGCTACAAGCGTAACTGACATGGCAGTTCAATTTTTTACGATGACACTTTATTGTCATTCCACCCCATTTCGTGTTCAATTATACAGCCTGCTGACTTTGAAGAAAGAAATTGATTAATTAAACGAAGAGGTTTTTTTGTTATATTACCTGTTGTGTGCTGATTGGTGATGATATCATTAAGGGCTTCAATCTCTCCTGAATTTTGGAATTAATTCGCCGGATTAAGTACTCTGCATTCTGATTTAAATTGCTCGAGGATCAATTACCATTGGAAAGTTGGGTTTAAAAGTATTTGGTATCCAATATCCTTGAAGATTTCACAATTTTGACCGACTTCCACCTCGCACCACAAACTTTTTCATAACACATTCACTGTTTGCGGAAATTCGGTTCTTTAATGAATTTAGGAATTCCGAAGTTGGCACAAGTTTTTTTCTATGTGTTAATTCCTACTCGAAGAAATAATATAGTCATAGTTAAAACGTAGTTGAAAGAAGAGGGTTGATTCATATCAACACACCACTCACGGCACAAAAATGAACATCACTGACTGGGGTATCCGAAATAAGAACTTCTCAGACTTTGCAGTGCTAAAAATAAACTCCTTTCTGCAGTTAGAAACCAAATATTTTCACTCAAAGCTTCATCTGTTTTTCCCAGGTCTTAAAATAATGTTCCTACAAAACAGAAATAAACTTTAGTAAACATTATGAATAAGTTAAAAGTTGATTCCAAAACAGTCACTGTGCCACTGGAATCTAGTTCACCATTTTTCGGTACAGAACAAAGCCTGGTACCATCCAGGATTTTATTAGCCAATCAGCATTGAGTAGTGATAAAAATTTTGTTTACGAATCGGTCTGGGATGACCTAGTCGAAACCATTCTCGTGCGCTGAGGTAGGAAAGATTGAAAAATAATTTCACAGATATGCTTTCATGGAGAACGGACAATTACGGTTAATGGAAACTATCCCCCTACTCTCAAAATCAATATTAGCGATGGCTCTAATTTAACCATGTCTCAGATATTTAGGCGAAATCCCCCATTTAATGCCAGTCTGTTTCCCCGTCAAATGGTAAAATCCATACAAGCGAGGTACCATATGCGATAAGCAACTGGCTTGTCGATGCTTGAAGCAATAATTAAGTTGATGTTTAACACGTGTTCCCGGCGACTGGTTCCTAATATTCGACTAGTCTTTAGGGTCCACATATCGATTATTTATTACCAGTAAATATACAAATATACATATAAATCATATCCCGTTAATAATCATCATCATTATTAATTCTTTATAATAATAATCATAGGTTATTATCATCATTATAAACATCATGCAAAACGTCTATAAGAAAGTATATCACTATATTTTCCAGTAATTGGAAACGTCGTCTGCTAGATGTAATCACCTTTTACAAACAGGATCGGATAAATGAATTAACCCATATATACAATTATGATTATTTATTAATAATGCATAATGAGTGCGACTAGCTATTATTATATGTGGAGTCTTTTTATATTTATGGTCTTGTTAAAAAAAACTTCGCGGATCTATTAGTCTAGGTCGAACGCACTTACTGACAGAAAGCCGTGTGGCTAGGGACTACAAAATGCGCCAAGTTTTCTCAAGTTAAATTAAAGTATTTAATTATGAATGAGGAAAATGAAAACAAGTAAATCATGCAAAACTAAAATTAGTTCCCTGTACCAGGTTTTTAATCACGAAATGACAGTGTAATTAAATGCGCTTAAATGTTTAACTGGATTATTCGCTGAAGTAGATTGGTTTCCGATACGTTTAGTGATACCATCTATAATGCTTGGTGGAACTTCGATGCTTGTTAAGATTAAAGCCGTCCTAAGAGCCGCGGGGAGAATAACAATAATTATCTTAATAACGTAGACATTTATACATCCCACGTAAATAGTATTCTACGTTGATTAATTACTCTCGTTAAATTACTAGTTACTAAGAAAGATAAACAATTTACTGACCCTTAATAAAGGAATAGTACCTAACACAAACAAACAGACAAATAAATAAATACTAATTAATGAATTTTATGGTACTTTCTCTGGTGGCATGTCAGCATCTAGAACTGTCTGGGGCAGATTTAATTACAGTTCTCCTTACGTAATGACCACGGCACTCCTCTATAAATCCTTTGGTTCTTATATTGATTTTCAGATAACTTTTGTCTTAATTCAGCACTGCAACTGGAATGATTAACTTGCATTGCCATTATAATCGAAATAGTCTAACTGTTGCGTTTCGGTTCACCTATTTTCCGTTTGAATCATTTATGCGTTTTTAAATCGGGAATACAAATGAAAAAAGTTACAGTATTTTAAAACAATGTTAATTTAACGATTTAAGGCTACCTTAGAATAATTAACTTGTATATAATCAAATATGTTCTGTTTCGTTTTGCTTCACTTTGTTTCCGTTTGAATCATTTATGCGTTTGAAAATCGTGAATAGAAATGAAATAAAACTAACTTAAAATATTAAAAAAGATGTTAATTTAACAATTTAATTGTTTAAGTAAGTCTTCTACTTTACATTGTAAATCGACCCATGCAACAAAAAGTTCTTGAAATAAAACACTGGTTGAGACAAATATTGGATGGTCAATCGATATTACTCCAATGTCCATTTAATAACCCCTCAGGCCCTTTGACCTCTCGGTCAATATGAATTGGCCGCCTAGCATTTTTCAGATACCCACAAACGCGTGTTGCGCACATTAAATGTTCTGCTATATTTATTTATTGGCAGATGATAATGTGATAACCAGAAACAGTTTAAGGATGTTTTAATTATTTTATAAGCAGTCCAAATTGTTTTAAGGTCATGACAAATTTGTAGAATAATAACTACAGTCAAGACATGTTTTAACAACATACATTTCATTATCACTCAGATTTTAATTATTTTTATAAACAATGAGACACTGTTTCAATGTCAAGAAATTACAAAAATGTTTGGAATAATAACCCTTATAGTCAAAACATGTCTCAAGAACAGACATTTCTCTTAGTCGATACATATCACGAATGTGGATTTATTTACAAATAAATGAACTGCCAGATTTTGTGAAGTAATTTGTCAATTGTTAAACCGTGTATTAATAATATGAAATAGCTAAATATTTTCACTAATGACTACATAATGGTATTGGAGATGGCGAAGATAAAGAGATGAAACAATGTTATCTCAGGTTTTGCTCAATACCGTTGAGATTCATATATTTTACGTGTACACATTAAACAAAAATGTTCAAATTCTTACATAAGCTAACTTTTATTAGATTAGCTAGAAAATGGGTGAGAGTTAAAGGAATATTTTTGGAAGCTCAGCTTGTTGAAATCAGTGACTCATTAATTAGTTGGTCTAATGTTTCTGTCACAACAGATAAGCTGATTACCGACAATGTTAAACTGATACAAGTGGGCGGATACCGCTGGGAGGACAAGTTGTTGCAACAGATAACGATGATAGATATGGCGTAACACGGACTGGAGGGGGTGAAGGAGTCCAGGGGGACCACAGCTAATGATTTTGATATGACCACTCAGTATCTGCCAGTCTTGGTATGCCAATAATCTGGTGAATGCCATAGATGTCAACCCTTCTGCACAAAATGCAAGTGTTCAAAGAAATATTAGAACAGTTTCCAGCTGGCCATTAAGCAGTGTTCTTATGCTTTATGCAATTAATGTTCATTGGCTTTTACACTTGATTTATGTTTTTTCATTCTAATTATTAGACTAGTAATATACTTTCATAAAGGTAAACAAAGATAGAAAGAGACGATTACCACCCAGCAACCTTCCCTTAACTAATATCCAACCACCAATCTTCCCATGGCCAGAAATAGACAACCAACTTTTATTTAGCCAGAAATCAACCTTCCCTTGTCCAGAAATCGCCCTACCCCACTCGCCTTTGTCGACAAATCAAGAACCAACCCTCCTTTGACCAATGATAAACACCACAAACAATGTACTTCTCAATGCTATGTCGAACATGACGTTATGACAATACAATGATCTATAGTAAATCACACTGATCCGCAGTGAATATTCGCTTGGCCGCATTTTTTAATATCAGGAAGACCACCATCACTTTAGCAACAAGACAAAAAAGCTAATTTTAACAGTTAAATACATATAAAGTTATACAAAGGCCATATGGTGACATTTATCTTCATATACATACCATGACATCAAACAAAAGAACAGACGCGATAACACGACACTCGTGGCCTACTTTCAACCAACTCATTCCAGCACTACCAGATTCTTTTAATGACACCATAAAACATTTGTTTGTTCTTTACCCCACTAAGATTTGACTTATAAAACTAAAAATTAAGTTTAAAAAACCTCCAGACAACCGAAATAGTGGAAAATTGTAACCTAATTTCAGCTGAATTTCGAAACTATAATGATTTAAAAAACGCCACTTGCAAAACCTTCTCAGACATATGAACATATCATAGATCATTTAAATACATGTATTAAAGGAGACTTGGCCTTTAAAGGGTTGCCAAAGCGGCAGAACAACAGCAGTCTTGTCCCGTTGGCATTTCGATCCCTTCCAGATTCGCCGCATCCGCCATTCCACGATACACAATGTATGTATAAATTCATTATAACAATCTGTGGATAGGTAGATATATAACAACTTATATCTGGGAGGAGTGGATATATCGATAATGTCATATTATATTTAAGTCAAAACAACTGTCGTATGCCATGCAGGATGTGGTGAGATAGCGATGGAGTCCATATTTTATCCACCATTTTCTGAGTTTCTTCTCTATACCATATGCTATAACAAGCGTAAACATGTTGATTCAGTTCCTGAATTAATATACAGCTGAACGGGGTTATTCTTTGAAGAATAGTTCAAAATTTGTAAATGTACAAATTCAAAATTTAACACATAAAATATTCATGGGGTCGTAAGTTCCTTCTGTTTTCTGCCCCTCCTGTTTTTGTTGGTGTGAGATCACAATCTTGAAAGTTTTCAAAATTCCTATTCCATATGGCTGCCTGTACCTTCCACAACCTCGACAGTTAATACATGCAATGTAAACATAAATAATGATGTTTAAATAAACTACATATTTCCGCTTTTTGCTATTCTTGGATGGAAGGTAAAATGTGCAACACCTTCCAGATTGAACAGTTGAAGTAATAGATGAAATCGTGTTTATTCACATTGAAATCAACAATAACCATGCTGTCCCACATGGAATGGACTGAATTGGGATTCAATGCCTCCTCAAAAGTTAAGTGATTGTGTCGGTACGTATGCAATGTGAAAAGGAAGGATTTTGCCCTGACAGCGTCCTGATAGCCTACTTTTCTTCGCATTCCAAGTGCAAAAAGGTTATGTCAATATGTATATGATCGAACTTCGGCTATTTCATCTATTCCAAACAACCTCCCGTCTAAAAATAGAAACTTGGCTTCAAATATTTCGAAAATAATAAACGCTAGTTACCAGGGCCCGTGAGAAGTGGGAAAGCTGGAACACTTGTCCAGAGGACCCGGAGTCTAGAGGGGCCCGGGGGTATGCCGAGTAATATTTAAAAATAAATTGTTTGTATAATTTAAAGAACAAATACACTGTTATTTGATCGTTAAGTAGAAGAAAACCG